AAGTTAACAACCGGTTCTCCCGAAGTGGTGCAAACTGGCTGAATCCCACCACTGGCCTTTCTTATGGTCCAACCTTCTCAGCCATCCATTGCAACTGGGAAAACCATAGTGTTAGATCAGGTAATGGAAAGGCACACACAGGCTAACAGTAAGAACAGCTCTTTATTGTAACAGAACAAGTATGTACAATCCAGTGAAGGTTGAGTCTGACAGCAGCCCTTTTATAGGGAACTATCAGACCCTTCGACCAATGAGATTAAACCTCTGTTCGCTCCGGAACAGAGGACCTTGATGGAAACCATTATAACTATAGCTAGTATCTTAACACATAGCCTTGACTAGATGCACTTTTGTTGGCAGGGTGATGTCTCTGCTTTTTAGTATGCTGTCTAGATTTGCCATAGCTTTCCTCCCCAGGAATAGCATCTTTTAATTTCTTGGCTGCAGTCCCCATCTGCAGTGGTCCTGAAGAGGAAACTCAAATCCTTTGGCCACCTGATGAGAAGGAAGAAGGACTCCCTGGAGAAGAGCCTCATGTTGGGAACGACGGAGGACAAAAGAAGAAAGGGACGGCAGAGAATGAAGTGGCTGGATGGAGTCACCAAAGCTGTCAGCATGAGCTTAAATGGATGGTAGAGGATGGGGAAACTTTGTCCATGGGGTTGCGATGGGTCGGACACAACTTTGCAACTAACAACAAATAGTGTACCCTGTACCCAGACAACACATTGTTCAGATGGATATGGAGCTTTTTATGAGTATTTTTTTTAAAAATGTAATAAATAATTATATTTATTAATTATATAAATAATTATAAATAAATAATGTAATAAAACGTACTTTAAAAAAAACACCAAAAGGTTGGGCTCAATTGTGGTTGTAAAACGAGGACTACCCCTACCTGTATAACCCCCACCCACCCCAACTTCCAAGGGAAAGCATTTAAAACAAGTTTTGTCATCTCTTCCCCCCCCCCCCCCAGGCCTCAGAAACCCTGAGGGACTCCAAGGCCCCAAAGGCGCGGCCTGGACGCTGGTTTGGGGGTCCCAGGAGCCTCCCCTCAGAGGGAAGGGCTGGGATGGCTGCTAGAAACCCCGCCCCGTTTCCCTCCCGGAGGCGCTCCCCGGCCGGCTGCGGCGCATGGGGCTCGGGGTGCGAGGTCGGGAGCATCTCCTCAGGACTCACCAGGGCGGGACGGCGCGGCTCTTGGCCCGGGAAGCTTCTCCCTGCCGCCTCCGCCCCTGGCCGGGGAGGGAAGGAGCGAGGGAGGGAGGGCCGTGGGCCTCCCAAAGGCTTTAGGCCGCAGCCCGCGGTTCCGCTTCTCCTCAAGGGCAACGCGCTTCACCCCCCCTCCGCCCCGAAACACCGGAATAAAACAAAAGGGGGACCCCCAAATGCCACAGAAGCAGCCTAGCACCGAATTAGGAGAAATAAAATTGCATTTACAGAAGGGGAGGGAGGGGGGGGATACAAAGCAGGGCCGCGTCTATTCTACGAAATACGGTAGCGAGGGTCAATGATTCACTACTGGAACCAAATGGGCGATAATCCTATTTGCAGCCATTGAGGCCTATGGAGTTTTTTTTTTAAAAAAATACACGCGCGCCTATTCTTGGTATTGCGGTAGAAGGGAGCCTTCGTGACCTTCACACCCGCGAGACGTTGGATTCTTAACAGAGGAGACTTTTCCGCAACGTATGTTAACCATAGAGAGGGGTAGATACTTGAGCATGCGCAATCTAACGTTGCCTTTTCAAGAGGGAGGGAGGCGGGCAGAACTCTCGCCTCTCGTCTTATTATTAATAACGGAGAGCTCCAAAAGAGACTGGCAAAGGCGGGGCCAAGGATCAAGCGCTTGCCGTTGCTATTGGCTAACGTCGTGCCTGTCTGCTCCGTTCAAGGAAGCCGATTGGCTGATTTGCTAGGAAGGCGGGAGAGAAAAAGAAAATGCCGAGCTTCAAAAGCAAAACAAAAACCAACTTTGTGCAATCGAATGTAATCTTCATTTATATTGGATTATCTTTAGCTATTGAACAGGAGTTCCATTTTTAATTTAAACTAGGTACACAGACCTCTCCTCCAAACTCCAAAACCAACCTTTCGTTGCAACCCTCTTGCAAAACTTGTCAGAATAACAGGGTTGGAAGGGACCTTGTAGGTCATCTAGTCCAACCCCCTGATCAAGCAGGAGGCCCAGGCCAGGGGTGTCCAAACTTGGGAACTTTCAGACTTGTGCCTGGCTGGCTGGGGAATTCTGGGAGTTGAAGTCCAAAAGTTTTAAAGTTCCCAAGTTTGGACATCCCTGCCCTATACCATTTCTGACAGATGGCAGTCCAATTCTCTTCTCGTCAAAGTTCAGAAAAAAACGTCCTTTTTCCTCACCGAAACGCCTAAATCCCGAGTTTTGCAGCTCTCGGGCACTCTGCACGTGCTCAGAGGGCTCGGCAAACCAAGCCAAGCCTCCTTTCCCGGCGCTTAGTAGTTTTGCAAAAGAAGATCGGGGGCAATCGCCTCTCCCCCACCCCCAGGGAGAGGGGCTTGGCCGCTCACCAAGTCCTAGTAGCTTTCTAATGCGGAGAGACTGGGCCGGCGGGGGATGATGGGACCTGGAGTCCAACCTCTGGGGTGGAACCCTCCAGGGTGTGGGGAGAAGAGAGGGGTCTCCGACTCCCCCACCCCCGATTCTTCGCTGCAGACCACAGCCTGCAATCGGACGCGCCTTCCTGGCTGCATGCCCCGCCCCTCCGCCGGCCCCTCCCTCCGCCAGCCACGCCCATCCTAAGATCAGCTGGGCTGCCTGATAATACGGCGAAGAGACCCATTTCCTTGACCGCCGCCGACCCACCCATGTCCCCCCCTGGTCGCCGCCGCCTGCTGTTGCTGCCCTCGCCGCCGCCTGCCGCCGCCTTCCCGGGCCAGGTAAACCCCGAGGGGGTGGGGGGAGGGAGCAGCCCAACCCAGCCCGAAAGGAAGGGAGGCCAAGCGGAGAAGGCTGGGGGTCTCGCCGCTCCTCCCCCCCCCCGCCTGTTGCAGCAGCAAACAATCGGGGATCCTTAAAAGCACCGCAGGGTGGGGGAGGCAGACAGGCCGAATGCCCTTCCTTCCCAAAGCTCCTGGCAAGAGCAAAAGGAGAAAGAGTGCCTCTGAGCACATCCAGAGTTCTAGCGAAAGGAGAAAGAGTGCCTCTGAGCACGTCCAGAGTTCTAGCAAAAGGAGAAAGAGTGCCTCTGAGCATGTCCAGAGTTCTAGCGAAAGGAGAAAGAGTGCCTCTGAGCACGTCCAGAGTTCTAGCGAAAGGAGAAAGAGTGTCTCTGAGCACGTCCAGAGTTCTAGCGAAAGGAGAAAGAGTGCCTCTGAGCATGTCCAGAGTTGTAGCAAAAGGAGCAAGAGTGCCTCTGAGCATGTCCAGAGTTCTAGCGAAAGGAGAAAGAGTGCCTCTGAGCATGTCCAGAGTTGTAGCAAAAGGAGCAAGA